AACGTTTCTCACTATTGTCAGATACTAATGCTGCTAAGTAATATTTTTTGAGGAAATGTCTCATGATTTACAAAATCCTTTTTTTACGGTCACATTGGTGGAAATGGGCTTCCATAGGTTCCCAGCCTTTTTCCTAAAGATAACCCTTTTCTATCATTTATTAAAACTGACAACTGACGAGACATATTTATGTATATTTCCTGTTATGTACAATGAACCCAAAACAGTGAATTCAATAACTGCAAGAAGTTTGTGTGAAGTGATTTGGATGAAGTTTGAGCAGATAATTTCCTGTAAATATTGATCAGAAGTGAGTTTTCCTGGTATTTTTTATAGAATTATCTGTCTGTATTATGTATTTTTAAAAAAAAGTCTATTTCAGTCTAAAAGTCTGTATGATTTTAACAATCATACAGACTTAAGCTTTTTTTTTTGACAAATTCAGTGTTTTCGTGTCCCCTGACGCTCAGCCATTGTTCTATTAGACAATTTGATTAACATTTACTTGTGATACTGAGATATAGGCTTACTGTGTATATTTTGTAAGCAGTTTTCTAACACTGCTTAATATAAATATGAAGCTTTGGCGACCCCTAGTTGGGGCCTTGACCCTCAGGTTGGAAACCGCCGATGTAATGTAATTTACTACTGATTTTATATTCTTACTTTACAGTGTAAAAATACTCCACTTCAAGTCTTACATTCAAAATGTGCACGTATCAGTGTATCGTCATATAAATGAATTTATTTTTATACTCTCACAACATATAACACTTATTGTCCCTTTCTGCACAAATTAAATTCTACTTAGATTGTATTGTTTTTACCTGTACCTTAGTGTATCAAGTGTTTTTCTTAAATTGTGTTAATAATATATGTAATGTAATGTGACATAATACATGTACTAATGTTATTCTATTGGCAGTGCAGCATTTAGATAAAATGCTCCACTAAAATAACTTGAATTTAAAATATTAATTGTAAAATATATTAGTAACAAAATGTACCTTCATCTCTAATTCAAATCTTAATAATAATAAAATCCTAAATTTAAATGACATAGCATTGTTTTACCCTGTTCAATTCTTCTCTTACAATTTAATTGTATCCTGATTTTAATTTTTTCTAATTCATTACCTTTTATTTAAAGCATTTTGAGGAGCACCCTGGTAGAGCTGGTGCCCAATGTACCGAGGCTGAATCCTTGCTGCAGCATCCATTGGTTAGAGTCTGACCTGTGGCCCTTTGCTGCATGTAATCCCCTCCCTCCCCATCTATAAATAATATAAATAAGATTATGATGACGAAACACATTCCTCCCTAGGAAACCCTGAAAGTGTGGCTGCTAACAGGATTAGCTTCCTCCCCCTTTGAATAAAATGAAGAATGGGAACAGGGAAACTAGCATTTATTATGTGTACAGGCAGGCAGCTCATGAAAAGTGTACAATATTCTGAATCAAACAGCATAATCAGTCATTATTTGTTTGTTGCCCTTTATTTATAAGCATATCATCTCAAAATATTGTACCACCGTTATCTTTGGCAACAAAATCAACAAGAGACCCTCATCGCTCCCCTTTCCAACGTTTTACTTGAGCCTCACGTTTTTTTTTTTTTAAACTATTTGACTTCAACATGAAATCATAAGTCCCTCCAGTCTGAGAGCTCAGGGGCATTAATACTGAGGAAAAGGAGGAGCTCAAAGTCAGTATATAAATACATTTTAAGAAACTTCATCATTAGCCTACTGTATGGTAACAGACCAGAGAGTCTTGACGTGAGGAGTGTGGTTGGCCAGCGCTGAAGTAAGACGATGAAAAGGAGACCAAGTTGATTTTCAGCAGCACGCTCTCATGCATTACAAAGGCTTGTCAAGATTTTGATATAAAGGATAGAATTAAACATACATGTACTGTAAACAAAATACAGCATACTAGTGGAAAACATTTGGGACATGTCACACTTTTCCACCTACAATCTTTTCATTAGGTATAAATTAGTAATTCCCTAAAACGCCTGTTTTAGATTCACTTAATCTCATTCACTACTTTGATATTGTTATGTCATAAAAGATATTGGATTGTGAGTGGTTATAAAATGAGATGTCAGCAAGTAAAAACAAAAATAGGATTATAGTGAGCAGACCTGGGTTAATCTGCCATCTGTTCTGTTATAAATGAAGAAGCTCCAGGTGGGCAAAGATTGCACTTCGCTGACTATTCTGCCTCAAAAACCCCATCAAGGTACTTGAAAGGATCTCAAATACGGTGGTAAAGTTTGACCTAGGTCTCCGGTACAGCGTGTGGTTTAGTAGCTCTGAGATTCAGATCATGCTCGGGGCTGCACTGTGGAGGATGAGGTCTCCAGCCACTCGCACCAGGGTCACTTCCTCCAACCCGTCGACTCTGTACTCGTACTCCAGCAGGTGGCTGCCGTCCACCGCCACTTTAAACATGTCCTCCTCCACAAGGATCTTCAGCTGCAGGGAGAGCAACAGAAAACAAGCAAAGGTGTGACGAGGAATGCCGGTAGAGTGGAAACAATCCGACAGAAAATCAATCTGTAATGGTTTTCCTGATTAATAAGTTATTAAGTTATTTTTAAAGCAATAATTCAGTGGTTCCAGCTGCTCAGATTTAATTTTTTTCTGGTTTTCTCAGTCTTCTATGATAGTAAATTAAACATCTTTAGATAATGGACTGACAATCAAAAGTCAAAACCAGCAATCTGAAGCCTCGGACTCTGTGTAATCAGCATTTTCTGATATTTTATAGACCCAAAGATCAATTGAGAAAATAATCTCCTGGTTTATCGATTACAAAAATAATAATTCATTTCAGCCTTGAAAGTTTATTTATTTATTTATTTTTTTAATTTTTTTTTATATAAATAAATATAAAAAGCGGTCTTAGCCAAACTGGAGCTCTGGAAGATTAATACTTCTTTCATACTGAACCAGAATAACCAGTTCGTCACTGACATTAATGGGTTAACAGGTTCTGGAGAACTGTGACCAGGGTGGGAAATTACCACCAGACAAATGCTGGTAACATATCGAGTGGTTGGTAGATCTTATTCACAGAATAATGAATTACTATTGAGTGGCTCTTGAATATTGTTTGGAATATTGGCTTGCACATATTAAAAAGTGAATTTCCCACCCTGCCTGTGACACCGTCAACAGGCATGTTTATATGTGAATGTGACAGATTAAATACGTTTAATCAATGTCAAAGAGTCCAATCGTAGGGTTATTAGCAAACCTATGGTACTACAAATGAACACTGACAATGACAAGCCCTGCTGAGCCACAAATTCTGCTCTGGGAATGAATTTTAATATGTTGAATCTCCACTGTGAAAATAATAATTTACAGGTGACCATTTTTAATGATGTCTGAATCTGACATTGCTGTTTACGACATTAAGTTGACATCATGTCTGGAAGAATTTGAGGGTTTTCACACTGGTGTGTATTTAAGCTGCCGCTGAGGACTGCAATCTGGAGTGAATGGGGATGTCCCAGTATTTAACCATGACTAACAGTTACACCCATGTTCAATATCTGGAGTGACACATGAACACTTGAATGTGAATGAATGCACCTCCCATACTCTTCCACCATGTCCCACTGAGTCATCACTATAAAGCTGACCAACAGCTTCTTGGATTTTGCCTGAATCGGCTGTTAGTCTGACGTTATAGGCGCAGCACACTCACACAGGTGTTTTTAATCTGTTTTGGCCGATTAGACCTCTTCTTCATGTCTTAATTATGATTGGGAAACCTTTTTGAAAGCTACTATACATCCCACATGGAACTTAATAACATGGAAGTGCCTGAAAATAAAGGAAATGGGAATTGCTCTAGTGATTAAACTAATGGATCGCATATATTTAATGGTATACCCACCTATTCTTAACCCTCACTCAACTAACGCTGTAATCATACAATCGTCTCAAGTTGTCCTGTGACATGAACGCAGGACTCTTTCCCGTCCCAGGTGACGTGAATGTAGCATCAGGTTAAAGTTGGACAGAGCTATGCTTCAATTCAGGATCTTTGTTGCACATCATCCACTATTAGTCTTGCGTATCAAAAAATAAAATAAAATAAGGACAAATGTCATCCTGTTTTACATTTTAAAAGATGAATCTAATCTAATCGAAGTCAAGTCGGGTCTGGTCAAGCACAATAAGTGAACCACTGATGTTGAAAGGCTCAATTATGAATGAAATGTAAAAGAAAATCTTTTTGGCAGTTCCATTACTACAACAATTTACCTCAAAACGGCGTCCCTGAACAAATGGGAAGTCTCCTTCTCGCTCTTCTGGCCCCCAACATCCACCTAGATTGGAGTTTCTGACAATTGTTTGCTCAGGAAATCGAGGATT